TCAGTGAGCATGTTAGCATGCCTCTGTTAGCATTCAGCTAAAAGGCACCGTTGTGCCTAAACGCAGCCTCACAATATATACAATAATATCTTAATAATGTGATGAACTGGTCCGTTTTTCTGTAGAAAAAACTAAGTTTACCGAGACCACTTTCACGGTTTAATTTTCAATATTTGATCAGCACAATTAGATGTTTACTTTAAACGTTTCTGCTTCTTTTTGTGAACTAATAGTTGATTTAAAGGCCACTTTGTATCTGAGACGTTCCTGTTCTGACCCACAATGATCTTCACTGTAAATTCTAACATGCATCATCAGTGCTGTGTTGTCATGATGATGAAGTGTTGTGTTATCTGGGCCAACACCACAGAGAGAGACGTGTTGTTGTGCTAAGCAGTTTCCATTTTGTCCGCCAGTGTTTGACCCACAAAGGCAGCGGGTGAAAGTGCAGCGTGTGCAGACGGGCTGATGGGAATTCAGGCCGGTCGGCAGTTCTGCAGTGACACAACAGGAAGGGCAGTGAGTTCTTTATAAGAGACGTACAAACACCAAGTTTATTCATCTGGTCACCAGAAAAGAGTTTGAAGATGTTTCCAGTCAAACGCCGTCATTGAATATTCGTGATTCTTGACTTGCAGTTCGGTCCTTAAACGTCTCGACTGTCCTCTGCAGAGACTCGGGGATCCACATCCTCTTACGTCTCTTTCTGTTTCCTCTGAATCATCCAGATGTTTAGGGGGGGTTCTTGTGTGTTTTAGTGGTGCGGCTCGTCGTCCTGCTGCTCGTCTTCTTGGAGGAGACGGTAGTCTGGGTCCTCGGGCCGGTCGAACAAGACCCGTCTGAGAAGAGAGAACGAGGCCACATGAGGGGGAACAAATGTCTCTTTGCATTTCCTAAATAAGACAGAAACACTCATCTTCTTTACTCAAATGTTCCGTATCTGGAAATGTCTGAAACATTATTTTCAGGTCAGAGTTTGAAGTAAACAAGACTAAAGATATTTTCCTCTACGTTTTGAAATAACATTCTGTCCTCAGTCTTTGTTTTACAAAATGTCTTCGTCCACCCTAAAAATACAAACGACAGCAAGCGCTCACCGGAGCAGAACGTGTTGGAACCAGTGAACAGGAAGTGACCATATCTGGACTGAGGAG